GGCTAACTAATATAGTATCTAAAATATTGGCCTCAATAATACTTCGACGCTTAACGAAAGCTCGTGAAGAGCAGACTAGAGAAAACCAATCTGGTTTTCAACCTGGACGTGGATGTATAGACCACATCTTCACATTACGACAGGTCCTGGAACACAGACACAAATTTAGGCGTCCTACAATAGTTGTCTTCCTGGACCTAAAAGCGGCATTTGACTCAGTGGATCGTGAGGTTCTCTATCAGTGTCTGTCATTGAAAGGTTTACCAAGGAAGTACATTAACCTTATACAAGAACTTTACTCGAACACCACTGGACGAGTGAGAGCTTATGGCGAACTGTCACCGGAATTCTTCACTTCAAGTGGTGTCCGTCAGGGATGTCCACTTTCTCCATTCTTGTTTAATTTTATCATAGACATGCTCCTAGAAATAACCTTATCCTCGTCTGAATTTTCAGGAGTAGACCTATTACCAGGAGGCTCGCTTATCAACTTAGAATATGCCGATGACATAGTCCTACTTGGTGAAGACGCTGACAAATTGCAGAGTCTTCTGACCACCCTAAGCAACAATGCAAGCATGTTCGGGATGCGGTTCTCACCCTCGAAATGCAAAATGTTGCTTAAAGATTGGGTTTCATCGGCACCTGAACTAGTGATAGGGAGTGAAGTAGTCGAACGTGTTGACCGCTTCACTTATCTTGGGAGTCTCATCAGTGCTGATGGCCTGGTGACTGACGAAATCTCAGCACGGATACAGAAGGCCCGATTGGCTTTTGCCAACCTGCGTCACTTATGGCGTAGGCGAGATATCCGCTTGTTAACTCAAGGACGAGTGCCCTGTGCACCAGTTCGCTCTGTTCTCCTATATGGCTGTGAAACATGGCCAGTGAGAGTAGAAGATATTCGTAAGTTACTGGTTTTCGATCATAGGTGTCTTCGAAGCATTGCTCGTATACCGTGGGACGACCGAGTAAGCAATGCTGTCGTTAGGAAACGAGTTCTAGGTAAGGATGGCAAATCAATCGATGAAGTGGTGAAACTTCATCAGTTGAGGTGGTTGGGACATGTGTTACGTATGCCGAACCACCAACTTCTGCGACGAGCTATGTTTTGTGGTGTAAGAGTAGGTTGGAAGAAAGCTAGGGACGGCCAGACCAAAAACTATGGCAGAAATCCATGAAGTCACTGACAAGTGGACTGATTCATGTTGGTAGATGTATGCTACCTGGTTGGGGTCCGCGAGACGAAAGTCACCGATGGTTACAGATCATGAACGACATGCCTCAAAATCGTTTGCAATGGCGCAGGTGCATTCACTCTGTGTGCTTTTTAATTCTAACCTTCTGAATTCTTTATAATCTCTATCTTTCTCCTTCTAAATTTATCTCACTGAATTATACTTATCGAATCATATCTTCGCTCCCTAATCTTCTTCATTGCTGCTAATAATTCTACTATCGCTATCACTCTTGGATTTGAACTGACAGTTACGTCTCTGTGCTGACGTAGTATGACAACCTGAACTGTACCTATGTACGAAGTTCTGTGCTGTATCTGTCTGTCTGTCTGTCTATTATCTTAGTTGATTTTTCGATACAGTATAATATTATGCATTCCTACATCGAGTCTTAATAAATAGGTAGCGTTAGAAGCAATACAAATTAGTAAATGTCAATAAACTTATCTCTGTTTGAGTTTAGATTATATCAGAGTCTTGTATACAGAGAAAATCTAATTACCTAGCTAGGTCAATAATACTTTAATTAATTCATTTCATGAGGTATGTTAAAAGATTGACATTAAAATAACAAGTTTCATTGATCAGATATGACACACATGACCAGTACCTTGACAAACACATTTATTACAGTCCAACAGAAAATATAAAAAACCAGCATAATTCCATCAAACTTTTAAACTCCAATTTTTTTCAACTCTGGCTTCTTTCATGCCAAAGTTTATTGTCGGATAACTAAAAATACTTGCAACAATTACTTGATCCAAATATTTACAAAAATAAAGTTACGAGGAAGATAGATGAAATATTTATCTTACCGAGTGTTTTACCTAATCCTGGAGCTACGGTTAAATGCTCCACGTTTAGAAACTTCTTGTAAGCAGCGATAATTGCTTTCAGATGAACTGGAAATTGTAAACTGACTATTCTGCCACATCCTTCCTCACTTGTCTACAACCTAGTATTTTGATAATACATATACCTTCTGAATAGTGTCTATACTAACAACTGAAATTCCGAACTCCTCCGTCGCAGCAATAACACGTTTTAAATCGGACTCGGTACAAGTAACAATAGCCGTTATTCCAACATCACTGATTTTGAAAATGTAACTAAAAAAGTATCTTACCTCTTAATACCAGTCATACACACTTCTACTCCGGTTGTTAAGACGAAGTTTCCGAAGTTATTATTCATGACCACACTCAGCCTGGATAAAGCTCCGGTAACAGTAGATGATCGAGATAAACTCTCCTTCCGATTAACAGCTACAGAATAATATTACTGTAGTCTGAATTTACCTAATGGTTCTAAAAGCCAATCGTTAATACCTCCTAATTTTGCATCAAGCCCGGTATGTGGAGAAAATACCCCAATTTTGTTTTCTATACAACGTACAACAACACGTTGTTTCCAATGCTGTTGTGTAAGCTTTTTAAGAGGAGAAAAAATTGGTGGGTGATAAGAAACAATCAGACCACTTTTTTGAGAAATCGCCTCATCGAGTACATGTTCCGTTAAATCATTTGTGATAAGAATCTTGTCCACATAGTGTGGAGGAGAAGGTTCTATTAGAAGACCGACATTATCCCATTTCTCAGCCAAATGTGGTAAACAATACGCATCCAATAACTGAACAATTTTAGTAAGCTCCATCCCTTTATGTGCCAACTTTGAAATAAACATGTTTTAATAAGATCGAGAAGAACAAGATGACAAACTAACAATAAAAATGAGCAAATTACTTTACAATAAAAACATTATAAATCAGAATGGAGCATACAAAACTGAAAAATAACAGTAAATCCATTTTGTCAAAGACGTTGAGAAGTATATTTACTTCTAATATCGTCAGTCAGTCATTTACAACGAAGAACTTCGTACGTACGTACATCAGTTCAAAATGCTACACCACATTAGCACACAAAGATGGAATTGTCAATTCAAATCCAATAGCAGCGGAGGTAGTACGAGTATTAGCAGTAATCACAGAAATTAATGATCGAATGTATCATTCGAGATGTATACGTCATAGGAATCAATTTAGAAAATAGAGAAAAAAACGGTCATGAGGAATTTAGATTAGGATTTGAGCGGGCACAAAGAATGAGTGCACGTGCGCCATTGCAAACGATTTTGAGCCATGTAATTCAAGGTATCTAGCCACTGATCACTATTGTCTCGCGGACCCCAACCAGGCAGTCTACATTTACCTGCATGACTCAATCCGGTTGTTTTGGTTTGGCCGCCCCTACTCCTACACCACAAACCATAGCTCGATGAGGCAGTCAGTGGTTGGGAATAGGTAGCACATGTCCCAACCATCTCAACAGATGAAGTTTCACAACTTCATCTATTGATCTACCATCCTTGCCTAGTACCCATTTTCTGACAACTTCTAATATTGACAACAAAATAGACAGTAAACATGTTAGTAATTTTATTTGAGATGAAGATGTATATTTTTCGGGGGCTTAGAGAGTCAAATATTTAACATACACATACACAGAGATATTGGATTAGACTGTTAATTCAAATAATTCAGTCATGCGACTGAGAATGATAGACTGCTGAAAGAATACTTTTAAATAATAGAGAGGTTAGGATGGACGATGATTAGGGAAGTTTAACAAATATCAGTATTAAATCACGGTAATATAAATCCACGCGACAGAGCAACTGGAAAACCAGATATATATTTTGCAAAATAGTCAGCAGCTACGGATCTTTTTGAGTGAGATAAGTTTGACTGAATTATTCAGCTTTTTTTGGTAAAATTCAGCAGTTCTTTTACCACACAAATGTGGCTAGAAAAATAGACGAAATACACCTACTGTGTCCTTTAAGTGAAAATGTTGAAAGTTACAGTTGGGAGTGATAGTACAAGCTCATACAACTTGACGGTCTAGCGAAACCGTTAGTTAAGCACAGAATTAAAATGAGTACACCAAAACTACCAACACTAGTAGCACGAATTCCCTATAATTTTACTAAAGTGCCATTTTGTATAGTTTGGATACATAATATGCATACGTGTCAATTTCATTCATTTTAATAAACTGATAACTATCTATTTTCATCCAGTTAGCAAAAGTTTTCGATCTCTGTTAAGTGCAGCAATTGATGTGTGAGTCCGTTCTGAAGGTACTTTTCAAATATGAAGTATCAAGGTCAATATGAGAAGTAATCCGAAATCTTAAAAGGAAGTAAGTAACTGGACCGAAAACTTAATAACCAAACAGAAAGCATGTATACTTAATAATGAAAAATAAGACTAACGAGCACTCATACATCCAAAACTGCCGCCACAACCTTATAATTCAAACAGGCCGCCTAAGGATTTTCAATACCTAACGAATAGTTAAGAAGCGAACAGTATCTACTTATTATCATGAAAAAAAGTTGTTTTATTAACAAGGACTTCTTGAAAAGTGAGTCTAATCTCACTCCACGCAAAACGTCATTGCCTAAGCCTCTCACGTAGTTTTTTGAACCTGAATCAGATAGATATCGTGTAACAGGAAAATGTACACAGAACATTCGACATTCAACTGCTAAGACAAGAGCCTGGTTTCGAATAAATGACTACATCTTAACGTTTCAACTTAAAAGTCTTGACACTGCCGTATGAGCGTAAAAATGTACAAAGCCAAATATTCATGAATGATGATTCGGAACATGGAAGGCGAAACTACGTATAAATGCTACCAAATGGAGAACGTGATGAGTCTGATCCCTTTACTCAACAGAGGAGCCGAAGCTAGAAAGACCATTAATTGACCAACATGTAACAAGAACTACATGACTTGCTACTGTATTCTTGAGAGACGGCCAAATCATGACATGCTCAACTGAAGAGGAAGAATAGAGGCTAGTGACGAGCAATCTTAGATTCGTAACTGTATCTCGCAGTATCTTTTAACAAAACACAAAACCAGACTAAGTCGTACTAATAAGTGAAAACTAACAACTGTATATAAATCAGCTGAAGGAGATCATGAGTTAAGTAGACAGGTAAAAGTTAACTCACAGCAGGATAAGAAAAAAACCTAATGACTCATTCAACTCCTCAGGGTACATGCAAAACATATATATAAATGATAACCAATAACTCAGTGTATAAGCCGTATGATCACGCGAAGAAATAAACCGAACACTGAGTTATTAAGTTTCTCATTACTCAGTAATCATTCGGAGAAAAAAATTCTGCAGTCCCTAGATAAATGCTAGAACATCTCAACATAACATGAAAAAAGGAAATTAGATACAAAGGAGTAGACCGTAAAAACGTATTTTTTCAACTGTCATGATACAGTAATTCACTGAAATATGGCCAATCCTACTAGAACGTAATTACTTGTCGGGTTTTCAGACAAGTTGTTCAAGCCCAGTGCGCATCCAAACTCATAGCACGGGAAAGTTTGACATCCTGCTTGGACTGAAAAACAACATTGCATATAATATTTCTAAACCATGCAAAAGCCTTCGACACAGCACCCCAAGCACGCCTAATCGCAAAGGTTGAGGAAATGAGCTTCACTGACATACTCGGATTTTGGCTCAGAAACGACCTCGAGAATAGAAAGTTTCGTACGAAGGTTAATAGAGTGCACTCGAGCTGGCGAGTATCCATATCGGGAGTTTTACAAGGGATCGTCTTAGGTCCTCTTCTCTTTCTGATATCTATTAACGACACGTTAGACACAGTTAGCTCACCGGCGTTGATCTACGTAGACGATGAGATCTGGAGATCCATTAGAAACGAAGAGGATTCGACCAAGCTTCAAAAAGACCTTAAATCCATTGAGGGATCGGTGGCGATAAACGGTCTGAAACCAAACCAAAGTGTCACGTCATGTATATGACGTGTCATGCATATGACGCAAACGATTTACACCCTCAAGTCCGCTCCCTAAAGTCTCCTCAGAGTGCGATCTCGGTTTAATAACCACCAAAAGCCTCCACACGCAATTATAGTGGACGCAGCCAAGGCAAATGAGACTTTACTTTATGCGAAGACAACGAGGTGCTATAACTCCCCAATTATTCTTAACGTTATTAAATATAAACGCGCGCCCACACCTGGAGGTTCACGACGTCATCTCATCCCCTCTGCTTAAAATGGACATAAATCTCTTAGATCGAGTGCATAGATGAGCAAAGAAATGATTGATAGGGTTGAAGAATAAACCTTACAAAGATAGACTCCAGCAATCGGGATTATTCCTTCTGTGTTTCAGGAGAATCAGAGGTGATCTGATAACGGTGTACGAAATATTAAGCACGCCAAACCATCCGAACGTGACTACCTTAGAAACTTCTCTCCATTATTCTCCATACTGCAACTAACTGATCTCCGGTCTTGTAATGTGATAGCTGCTGGTATCTAGAAACCCTAGTTCCCAGAATCAAACGAATTCATCCAAATCGCAGGACATTCAGATTCATAAAGAACTGCCAACTATCTAGAATTAGAAAATCGAATGGCTAGACCCTCATCCATTGGACACTACCAAACACCTGAAACCTTACTGAAAGAACAAGAATCGAGCACGAAGAAATCAGCTGGTTTATACTAGCTATTGGATATTAGACTGACCTTGAACGTTTTACTTAATGTCTGAAGGTACGAACTGACTCTTTGCCATATTTCGAATGAGTGTCGAACGTACAAAATGCAGTATTCTAATGAGACGCCTTGGACGTAGGTTAACCCGTTTAACTAAGGACTGCCAAGATGCAACACAAGAGGTAATTTCTTTTTTTAAAACCCGATTCCACCAAAACAGCTATCATTTCTGCTTAGAGATTTCATGAAGTATATTGAACAGCATATTGATAATAATACACCAGATTCAGCCACAAGCAATATTATATCGACTCTGGTTCTGGTATCCGATATACTGGGCGATGACCTTCTTGGTATATTATCTAAGTTTCACCAAGCATCTGGGAATATCCTTACAACATGCACATATTCACGCGAACCAGTAAGTTTCCTTTCCGTTTTGAAACCACGAACAGAAACATTATAGTTGTGTTAATCTTTTTGAGACTTATGACAAATACAGATAAGTAATAGCCCAACCTCTTATTGAAGAAAACTCAGTAATTTGATTACTAACGCCAAAGGTCCCAACCTTGGGATAAAATTGATTAATTCTGGGTGTATCTTAGGACATTTTCACTAAAGCTTTTGAAATAATCTGTAGAAAAATCCAACTGAAAACCATAAAACCCACCCAGGTGTATGGTTTTCCCCAAAATAATCACTAGATTCATTAAACATTTTCACATACTTTGGAAAAATGCTGCTAATCACTGAAAAGTAATCCTAGTGCTTAATACATTTGAGTTCTTTGCCTGGAATACATCTAAAACATTCTCCCAAAAACATTCCCACAATTTCATAGGCCGAGGATTTCTACGGGTTATTCCCATTAACTTTTGGAAGATGCTATGGTTAACCTGCGAGATCTCTAATTGTTAACTAATTTTTGGATTTCTAACCACGATATCTACAGAATTTTTCATCAATCAACGCCCAGAACTTGTTGATTATCCGAACAGAAATGCTCTCTGCCGACAACGTTCATCCTTGTTGAGGCCTAGTTGTTCACAGGTTACTACATCTTAAATTAGTTTTAGCTTGTTTTATAATAATGCCCTCCAAATTTTGTCCCATGAGAGCAACTAACACTTCCTACGTCTGATATCAAAATACTGATGTGACATCAATCAAAATACTTATTAAATTAATATTTTGTGTCTTGTAAAATGTTAATCTGCCTATAAAACTTCACAGTAAATGTGTTAGCGCTTTTAACATTTTGATGTTGCCTGTAAACTGGCATAACTCATGTAACACTGTTTTCTGAGAATAAATTATTATTATCGTAAGTAATTTTATTTATTTATAAGTGCTAGTTTGTAAAGATGCTTTATCAATGTTATGTCGCCGTAAAACTGAGCGACAGACGCAGACCCTTTACATGATCCCTAAGCTATTGTTGGTAGCGAGAATAGGTTTAACGACTAGGTCAGTGAATTTATGATTTGAAACCGCCTTTCTCCCCATATATACATACGTATATATATTAGAATTTTAGGTACCTCTGTGGAATAGTTACACCATATTGCTGTTCAAGCGAAAATAAATAAAGCAGTGTCTGGATATGCGGTCTTTTTGGTAAGGAACCATATAACAATTTTTTAGTCACCATTCCACGGTCGTCATTATAAGCAGATACATTGATGTTTGTGCTATATCAAATATTCTTATTTCTCTCTTTCAAAGCATGTGATTTTATCAGATTAATCTACAATAGGCAGCTTGTTCTCAAGGCTAACCCATTCAGGTACCTGGGTGTATAAAAAGCTTTATTTCCTTGGTTCTTATGAAGTTTCACCTATCTGTCAGGCTTTCCAGTCGAACACTATTAGTTGAGTCAGAGCTTGTGGTGAACTGTCGTCGGGGTTTGTTGCTTCATGTGGTGCTTGTCAGGGTTGTTCACTTTCTCCATTTTTATTTAGCTTCGTCATCGTCATACTCTTAGAATTATTATTTTCGTCGTCTGACTTCTCAGGAGTCGACCTTCTACCAAGAAATTCACTTGCTGACTTAGAATGTGCAGATGATATAGTTTTATGTTTAGTGAAGACTGTGAAAAGATGCACAGTCTTCTGACCACCTCAAGTAACGATGTCATTATGTTTAGGATGTGATTCCCTCCCGCCCCTTTGGAATGCAGAATGTTACTTCAGAATTGACCTGTCTCAGCTTCGGTTCTTTATTGAAGAATTCAAAATAGATGAATATAATGCTGGTCACTGAATGACTTTGAGTGGTAGGATATAACTATGTCCTTGAGTGCTCACAAGACTCCTAAATAAATTGTAATCTTAAACAAAAATGTATGGGTTTTTTATCTTTTAAAGTATAAAATTATCAACTAACCCACAGAGTACTTAGGTGTGAGTCACACTAAATGTGAGAACTGACGATACCTCTGATTTGGCAGGACGAAATATGTAGGATGGGGTCCAATCATAAGACTTAGTGAAAGTCAAACGCCCTGAGTACTAAGTCGCTAATCCTTTTATTTAATGAAGCTGTGTGTTTATATGTAAAACATTAATAGAAATAAACAATTCAATATTATATGTGGTTACGAAGTATCAGCCCCGTAGGTCATCTACTTACAAATAACTGTTAGGCTTAGTTCCCTCCGATCACATAGGGTGAATGATTGGCTAATGACTAGGTGTTCAAGTTAAAAGCACCTCCATCTGTCTATCCTGATAGCAACTGGTAAATAAAACTTAGTATGTCAGTTCACAATTTTGTACGTTAGAGTTATTACGAGAATAGCATTTAGCGCAACCCATTTTATCATCGTGTCTCTTATTTTCTAAAATTCAGCTGCTAAATAAAATGATTATCATTCTTTCTAACAACCAATATATGGGTAAAATAATCATAATAGGTCTTACACATCTACTCGTAGTTTGGACATTTGAATTTGTACATAATATTTGCTATTTTCTTAGGATATATTCTTTAGTGACGCAAGCGTAATCAGGTCATTTTTAATGTTCATTTAAGTGGTAGTTAGCTAAAAAAAAATGCTTTTTTCAAGATTGTAGATTCCCCAGATATCAGCTCATTGTGTAAATATGACTTACTCACCAAAGGCTCTGTTGAAAAATGCTTGCATCGACCGTTTGACAATAAATACTTTCTAGAACATTTACATAGCTTTACGCGACTCCTTCACATGCTGGAAACAAGCTATGGGTTGCAGGAAGCCGGACTTACGTCTCAAATTTCATATCTGAGAGGGAAATATACGTAAGTAAAACTATGAAACTCAAAGTTTTCGGAATTATCGAGTGATTACATTCTACTAGAATTTGTAATATTTTAGTGAATTACTGTATCATGAAAGTTGAAGTATCACGTTTGTACGGTCTATTCATTTGTATCTAACTGCCTTATTCCATATTATGGTGAGATATTCTAGCATTTGTTTGTGTGCGTGGTTACAACGATATCTATGTGATATTTGTTGATCTGAGGTATGTGAGAACTTGTTTCATTCACACTTCGCAATCTATACCAACTGATCAGAAATGTATGACGTTTAATTTTGCTCGTTGCTAAATCTACGAAGGCAATTATTGAAATGTTATTAGATTCCCATTTTATCACTCAGTTGTTCATCACTTAACCTAAAGCTTTAAATTTCCTAGCTGTTTAGTGAGAAAGTGTATTGGTTGCATAAATGCATAGCGTATCTGAATTTAGTATTGACTGTAGGATATAGAGATTTCAGTACTGTTGCAGCAGAGATAAGTTAAGTGTATCTCATCACTAACTGACTGTCTATTTGTCAGTGTAATAAAGTCCATTTATGTGACCAAACCTCACTGTTTAGTTTTAGAAATCATGTCAGTCATTCTGGAAACTTTTTTCTTGTTATAAGTGATATGTCTGGAGTAAGATTCCAGAAATGGTAAGTTTCAGGACTAACTAGTCGATTGATATTATTATTTATATTCTCACTTTATAATTATTACGTAACTAGACCACCACATATTTACATTATTTTTGTCGTAAGCTCTTGATTAACTTATTAACTACTGTTGTGTGATTGATTACTCTTATTCTGTTACTAGTTTATTACTTGCAGTCTCTTTTATACACAGCCACTTTTGGCTTGCTCATGTATAATTGTAATTTCCAATCTTATGGTGTTATGTGTTCTTGTATGTTTGACACATAAACTGTATCTGTTTGTAATATTTTGGGGGCTGGCTTACGGGCTTCGAGGCAGAGTAGAGAATAGGAAGCTATCAAGTTGTGGATTAGTAACGATTTAGAGCTGATTCAAGGTTTCTGGTGCTAAAACTTATTCTGATTAGTGTTTTGTATTTGTTAAGCGATGTTGATTAACGGTTAGAGATGCAACAAAATCTCATTGTCTGAGGATAGTTTGAACCAGCTGTCAATATGAAAGCCATATTCCATCAGAAATATCTTAGAAACCGTTATAATATGAACTCATGTATTTCAAATACTGAGTTTAAGGACATAACCTCCACACAATCAGTAGGAGTAGTATTTCTAGCTGCACAGAGTAATTATGGTTCTCATTCTACTGTACATAAATCTCTATTTAGTTACTGATAGTGTAGTGAACGAGAACACAGGTGGGGGCAGCCGGATTGTATTTAGCGAAAATTACAGAGTTAATCAGTAAAACTGGAAAACCATATCGTAAATCGTTTATTTGCAGTCCATCCTATCGAACTGGACTGTTCCTGTTGCAAAACATCAATCCATTGTCACTATTCATGCGTTTCATACAAATTTCATTGTGTTCCCACTCTTCCTTTCTTGATCTTCCCCCATCTTCTGCTCCCAGACATTACGTTGACACACACGTCATATACTACTTATAAGTAGCTCACACCACAATAGTAGTTCTTCGCATTTAGTTAACGAATTTAAACACATTTTTATTGATGTGACATAGAAGTCTTCACCTCGAATTTTCGTACAGTGTTTTTACTTGTAATACTGGATTTTTTTTTTCCAAATATGTTTTTTTTACACTAGAACAAGCGAAGAACTGTCATCAGATATCACTGAAGAATATTCACGGGAGTTAGAAATAGAATCTAACAAATTAGCTTCAGAATTAGCAACTCTAAATCAATTGGAGACTATTCAAATTCAATCAAGAAATAAATTGATTGAAAAACAAAATCAATTAAAACATATGGATGATGTAAGTTGATCTGCGTATATGTCATATTTTACATTTTCTTATTCACTGAATAAACAGTCAGTATAACTTGATATGAAGGATCAGACAAAGATGACAATGGAGGATGTATTTTATACACCGAAAAATGGGTCAATCACGATAATTATGTATATAAATTTTTACGTTTCATTTACACCGATCAGTAGTCTGATTTGAGTGATTTGAACTGAAAAGCACAGTGAGTCAATAAATAACTGACTATATCAACACAATTTCAATTGTAAAGTCAAATTATTGTGGCTAATAAATTGAATTAACTTTGTGTATTGTACGATTTCTCTGAAATGGAAATGTCCAGTGACTGCAAACATGTTTTCTATGTAGTAGTAGTAGTCAGTTGTGAATATAACAATCGCCTATTGGCTATTGATTTATGTTCCGTCGTTGTATTCAAATGTATGGCTCTGTGTGATTCAATGAATTTGCATACAACTTCAATTTAATCCTTATCTTTAATTGACCTTATGTTAAATACACTGTTTCCTTGTTTAAATGTAGTAGAGATTTCAGTGACTACGATTACTCAATTGTATATGTTGTAAAGAATTTGTCATCCTCAGTGGTGATCCTCTATAATCTGTCAAAAAGAAATTTCTATATATTCATTTTGTCTTACTGTTTGTTATTTCTTAATATTTGTCGATTATTCATTGTGTTGTGTTTACATAAAGTATATCTAGTTCAAATGATAAAATTTCAATGAAAACTGCAACAAAAAGACAAATAGTTGAAACATACAAGAATTTATAAAGTGATTACTAGAGTGATTGATAATTGTTGCAAGTAATATGCAAAAAGAAGATGTCATGATTTATTGGATCATTTATTTAATGAATAAATCCTACTTTGAACCTGGTTGGGGCCCGCGAGATGGTAGTAATCAGTGGTTAGCAACCATGGATGACATGACTCAAAACCTTCTGCAATAGCACTGGTGCATTTATTCTTTGTGTTCTCTCAAATCATAACCTTCGGAGTTCCTCATTTTGCTTTATTTTTTTCTTTTTAAGTTTTTTCGCTCGATTCCACTCCCTGAATAATATCGTCGAACCCTAATCTCTCCGATTACTGCTAATACTTCTACTACCTCCACTATTATGAGATTTGAAGTGATAATTGCATCTCTGTAGTAATGTGGTATGGCAACTTGAACTGATGTACGTACGTACGTACGAAGTTCTACGTTGTAACTGACTGACTGACTTGAACTTTTCATCGAATAACATGATTACTTTTTGTATCTTAGGTGGCTTATTGCCTAACAAAATGATCTGAACTACACGTTTCGTGCTAATTTTAAAGTATTTGTATTTTTTGTGATGTATGATGTGGGTGGTCGTCTTTGAATGATAAAGTAGCGGGTGTAGTAACTTCATGGTCAGATAGCCTAGCTTGAAACTAGGTTGCCTGTTCGAACCTTACTGCAACTCGGTTAAGGTTACCAGGCAGTGTATCACCATTCGTCATATAAAACGGTTTTTGAAACATCGGGTAGAAAAAGATCTTCACTGTGATTTGAATTGTGTTATATACAGTTGAAGACTAACTTAAACAGTCTAGTCTAATTATGTTATTACTGAATAGCTAGTTACCATTTACATATATGTTTATTCTTTGTATCTTGAGCTCTTGACTAACTCATTAACTATCGTTGTATGATATACTATTCCTAATCTGTTGCCAATTGTTCATTCCCACTCTCCTCTGCTCATGATCGCTTTTGGCTGATTGATGTATTGTTGTTAATTTCCATTTATTGGTACGATGTGGTCTGGTTTTGTGTGTATGTTAACGAATCTTTGAAATACTGGAACGAGTCATGTACTAATAGTCGTTGGTTATTTTTAAGCCCTCTTTTAATTATAGTGTACCAAATCATCTTGTTCTTGTTGCATATTGTCACTAAATGGTCTTTTTTGTTTTGGTTCTACCGTCCGGTGAAGAAGTCGAAACGCGCTGACTTTCCGCGTTTTGCATTTGGTAGCGTTTACGCGTTGTTTCTGTTCATGTTCATTCACTCATTATCTGTAGTTGTTTGATTTACTATCGTTAATCTGTTGCTGATTGATTATTCCCAAGCTCTCCTACTGATAACCACCTTCGGTTCATTTATGTGTGGTTGTTATTTTCCATTTATTCATACGATGTGGTATGGTTTTGTCTGCATTTAAATGAATGTCTGACATGCAATAACGAATCATAGACTGGTGGTCATTGGTATTCGTTCTTCCTCTTCGATTTGACAAGTTAGTATTAGACTGTCTATCAGGCATAGAGCAGCCAGTCATCTCGCTCTTGTTACATATCAGTCACTCGAAGGTCGTCTTCGTATTGGCCAGTGTAATCAGCCACAACAAATTGCGTGTTAAAGTTGACATTTAACCTGCCAAATGGTTTGTTTTTGTTTTCAATTTATTTCATACCTGGAAATCGTTTAAAAATTCTATTCATTTGTTTCAGTCACTAGTATTCGTTTTACAATGGTACCCTATTCTCCTCTTTTCAGGTTGAAAGGATTCTTCTTCAGGAAAATTCATGGTTAAAATTATTGACAAATATAATTGATTTAGAATACAATTCGTGTAAACAAGCCTCAGAAGGATTGATTTCCATTTCCCAATCACTTTATAATCTTAAAGATTATAGCATTCAGGTAAAATGCAGTGATATTTGAGATGACTTAACAAATAATTTGTGTTTTCAATGGTTTTTCGTTTACTCTCTTAACATTTGTGTAATTCATCCCTTTTAAAACTAGAGTAAATGATATATGGTTATTTATGCATACAGTCAGCTTAATTGTATAAAAATCGTGTAAAAATTTAAAATAGACTAATAAACACATGTTCAATTCAATTTTAAATGTTGCATGCTTTGTTTATATGTATGATATCAGTTATTTTGTTTTTTTTACGTCATGAGATTTAATACGACATCAGAAACGTCGTAGTTAGAGTCGTATGTGGCTGTTCAGCTACATTCGTTTGACAACTCACAGGAATTAGGTACTAATCAATGACACTATTATCAAATATACAAAGTATTCGGAACCCAGTAATCAAATGTCTACTCGTGACATCTATATTATCCAATTTTCCGAATTATTGGGACAAAATTTGTTTCAATCATTGATTTATTAGTTTCGTGTTTTTCTTATGTTACATATGAAGTCATAAAGATTTTGTATTATTTCACGTCATAGTAACTTGTCTGTACCATTGGTTAAATCCTACGAATCAGTAAATATAAGCTGTACAATACTCTCCAAGTGCTTAAGGCGATCCTAGATCTGAGTTTCACCTCCCATACCCTAGGTTTGGTTAGACAAGTTAAATAATCGCTAGCTCTTACACCTAAAGTGTAGCTCAAAACTAAATACACAAATCTGTATTTGATAAGTAAATGATCGTCATACCCATTTATTTGTTCTATGAAGTGTACTGTGCGGTGTACTGAAACTCATGCTGTTTTCAGCCTTACACACTGAGTGACACGAGTTCAAATTCTGTGGAGAGTGTAAATTCTCTCAAGATATCGGAAACGCGTTACTAACGAGTGACCATTTGTACAATTCATATATTTAAAGATTCCTGCTAATTGCCTCTAACTACTTGATACATCGTGTAGTCGACATATATTAGATGGAGACGAACTGAACCTATAATACCAATAGAAATGATCTTAAATGACATTACCTTAAAGTAAAGAAAATAGTTTTGACTTAGAAAATATACTGTCTGGAGGATAACTGAAAGTTGGAAAGCAATAGATAAATGTCCTATCTTAGTAAATGGATTTTCTTAGCGGTTTACATTGGCGATCCGATACGAAGTAGAGCTGAAGATGTTTAGTTATTTGCATAAGCAAATATTATTCAGTTTGTTTAAAATATTAATTCCACTCAGTTTACAGCTTGGAAGTTAGATAACACTGCTACTATCATTTCTCATAAATTAAATTAGTTCCGTATAGGGTAGAAATTATCAAAGAATCGAGTGAGTTAAGTTTATAATCATCAAGTTACATTGCTCCTATTTTTCTGAACACAATTTCATTGTCATTTAATGTATTTTGTTCCTTATAAATGAGTAATATTTTCATGAGAAATCTTTCATTCTTATGTTATCTATTAAAATGATCTTTTCCATTTATTCAATATTTAGCTTCTTAAGAGTTTGTCGAGCATAAATCAATCAAATGATTTCACAGAATATGATGAATCAATTAAAAACAAGGTCTCGAAATATTTTGAAGATGCTGTTATTCACCTACTACTAAGTAAATTGAATGATTGAATTTCAGTTGATTTTATGCATTATAATACTTAGTATTTTATATGATAGATATAAATGGAAGAATTTCCCACACTCTTTAATGACCCATCAACTAGATGAATTTGGAAAAAGTTCTAAGAAAATAATTGTGTTACTGAGTATTTTATCAGTAGTATACTTATAAATACAAATATTTATTAGGCTATTTCGAAGCATTTGAATAAATAGTAAAATAAAAAAATGTGTACAAAAATTAACATGGAATAAAATAATGTTTTTGGTTCGTGTGGTTTTTATGGTGGCTGTCTTCATACTATTTACACTATGGAACAAAAATTTTCGTTTCCAAAATTCATCACTGGGATTAAAAAATTGCATGATATTTGATAGTATCATTTGCATTTGCAATCTGATATTCTAACCACTACGTACGTACTGTGACACTGTCATCTGAACATATGATAAAAATAAGTCATGTGAAAATTATGTTTTTTAACGTAAATACTGTCACATGGTTGTTACTTTTAAACCAACAGTCAAAAGACAGAATGTTATAATTTCCCCATCCATGTTCTCCAAAATCCAAGTGTAATTCTTTTGTAATATGTATTCACTCACCTTTGCCTAGTCGCTAAATATGTATTCAAGTGAATGAGATTAATGAATGATATTATTAAATCCCGACCCTAGCTGCTACTTTTACGTGGTGGTCGGGCTTGCCTATCGTCATGACCCAACCGAGCTATACTGGCTGGAACATATGTCCCTGAAGGTTCTACTACGCCAGGCAGGTCGATTGGAGAACGATGAGACTAAAGGCAACTCAAGGTCTGAGGGCGAAGTCGTACTGCTGACTGCAGAGGGGTGTGACAGCAGTAAGGTGTTTTCCTCGGACAACCAGCATCTGCAGCAATTCTGCCTTCTCACAAGGAAGGAAGGGTTAGAAAAGGTCGACCCTAAAAATGTCACACCTCACCCAACCTCTCGGATTTCCGTCTCAGTCGGTAAGGTCTGCCCACTAAGGGCTTTAAAAAGAGTGGAGCTGTTACTCAAAAAACCTTTCATAAAAAGGCCGTGCGTGACAAGCCTCAAGCAATTGTCTCTTGGACTCTGTGGTCACGCTCCCAGGTCTTTAAGACCAACACAAATCTACCTTCCTTTTCCGGTCTCTCAAGAAACACCCTTCCATGGTGTGGGCAGCCGGGACGTGACAACCGCTCTCATACCCAAACAACACGCGAGACCAAATCGGTCACAATCAAATCCTCTAATGAGGTCAATTTTATATTAGTCAAATCATGATAGTAGTGTGTATATGAACTTGTGCTAGAAATTGTGATTTACTAACAGTCACTGATTTTATCCTTTTTAACAAAATAACTATACTTTCATACTTCAGGCTCCAGATTTATTTTAAATTACTTCACTGTTATTTGTTTAGAAACAATCATGGTAAACCTTCAACGTTTACATAGAAGTAGATTGATAATATGTCATTAATAAATGGTTAAAATTTTAATTTTAATCGTTTTTTATCAAGAGGTGAAATAACACAAATACATTGCAGATCATGTAATTTAACCAATCATCATTTAACATGTGACAGGCATCAGAATTCTATTTTTTATGATAATATTTTGTTTATCTCGGGACAAGTGATTTATTAAGAGGTGGGGTAAGGATTCGATCGTAAACAAATTGATATCGTGTGCTGTTAGATGTATGAGAGCGGATGTCACTTACTCGCTGTCCTGACCGTACGATGGTTTCCATTTTCTCGAGAGACTCAAAAAGGAAGTTGGGTTATTGTTGGTCTTAGAGACTCGGCAGCGTGACCACAAATCTAAGAGACAACTGCTTGGGGCCAATCCTACACGGCTTTTTTACGGTGAGTTTTTAATGTGTTAGCCCCGCTCTTCAAAAGGCTCTACCGCCGGAGACGAAAATTCATGGAGTAAGGTGAGGTGTGGCATTTTAGGGTCGACCTTTTCTAACCCTTTCCTTCCCTGTGAGAAGGCAGCGTCGCCACAGATACTGGTTGTCTGAATGAAACATCTTACTGCCGTTACACCTCCCTGCAGACAGCAGTAGGACTTCGCCCTCAGAACTTCTACTTGTTGTCTTATCCTTCTCCAATCGACCTCTCTGTCATGGTAGGACCCAAAGTGTCATTTGTTGTAGTCCATGTAGCTCGGTTGGCTCATGAAGATAGGCAATCCCGACCAAAACATCATAGTAACAGCTACGGTTGGGCAGAATTATCTTTTTTTGTGTTTTCTCAAATCATAATCTTCTTAATTCTTCTTCACCTTTTTCCTATTTGTAAATTGATTTCACTTGGAGATGCTTTTCGAATCATATCTTCGATCCCTAACCTTTTTGATTACCGCTAATACTGCTGCAACCTCTACTACTGTAGGATTCAAACTGACTATTCCATCTATGTATGCTAATATGGTATGATGACTTGAACTTATGTACGTGCATACAATGTTATACGTTGTAGGTGACTGATTAAGTTGCTGTAATGTATTTAATCACATAATTTATAGTTAACAAGTTTACAATTATTGATTGTAGCAAACTTTTCGTTTTAAGGTTGATTAGAAAAACATCTGACTGTTACAGTTATCAATTTGATATATTGATAGATAACTATCGCGTGATTTATTTCTAAATTATCCTGTTAAAAATATCTTATGATTGAAACCAGTGCATTTGAACATGCGAATCCATAGATATATACCCATTATATTCTCATTCCACTAAGTTAGTCTTTATATGTTAAATCTTAAAACATAAGTCAAATATTGCCTTAATAAATAATAACATAAGTCGGTAATGAGTCTCAACCCAGAAGCTGACATTCTGTATTCTTTGCCAACGTGACTTACTTACTTACGCCTGTCACCCCCAATGGAGCATAGGCCGCCAGTGTTCTTCAACCTACGCTTTCCTGGTCATCCCTTTCCAATTCTGTCCAATTCTTGTTCATCCTCCTCATGTCTCGGAGCAGTGTGTTCTTTGGCCTGCCTCTTTTCCTTTGACCTGGAGGGTTCCAAGTGAGAGTTTGTCTTGTGACGCAGTTGGGTTTTTTTCGCAGTGTGTCCTATCCACTTCCACCGCTTATTCCTGATTTCCTCCTCCACTGTAATT